CGTTGCCTATTTCAACATGCCAGTACTACGACTTTTACACAAATCGAACTGCACGGCCTGCTGCTTAGCCACGTTCCGCTGCTGCTGCACTCCCGCAGTCGCAACACACCCCGACATGCACAGGGGTGTGAGGGCCCTTCATCACCGCTTGCGGTTTTTATTACATTTTCTTTACAACAGGTGGTAAGACGTATTGCTTTGTCTACAGGGGAAACTAAAATCTACACAAAGTGAAAGTAAAAAAATATAATTGTTTTAAGGAAAACAGAAAAGCAACGACCACTGCAGATGAGGAGGTAACAGAAATCGGGGAGAGGACATTGAAATGATTTGGTTCACATATCATTAAGAGCATATCAGGCTTCAGAACTCACAATGTTCATACATGTACAGCTAATCAAAGGTACAAAGGGGTGGAAAAGGTTAAAGAAATATTTCTGAACACTTACATTAAAGATTCTTTCTGGTGTCCACTGGTAGAAGTTTGATTTGTGTTTATACAATAGATCTGAGCTGAAGAGTGAAATTGAAGTGGCTGGAAGAGGAAATGGAACATCCCTGAGATGAGTCACATGACCCTGGTGTGTTCTGTCATAACACACCCTTCTCTATTACAGCACAAAAAATCTTTGTGATGCTTCATCAGATATTTGGAGTATAGTTCCTCACCATACAGAGGCTCATTCTTCATGAACGTAATGTTAGTTCACATAAGATCACTGAAAACAGCCACTGGGGGTTGAAATTATTTACAAATCAACATTTGAATTTGAATGAATGAAACCTTAATTGCCCCTAGGGGAATTTGCCCATAACAAAAACATCAGTTTTGTATCCTGGATGAGAAAACTATTACACTCATTGTGAAACACAACACAAAATACAATAAAAATACCATTTATCTCAAGCATGAAATCTATTTTTAAGAACAATGGATTATTTTAGCAAGAGTAGTAACCAAAATCATTTTTCACATTTTTATATATCGAATCCTGGTTCAAGATAAAGATCAGCCTGTGATTTGCCAAAACTAAGACGTTAGAGGGATTTTTCCCCAACAATTATACAATATATCAACACAAATGTGCAGACCGCCTTGACAAATTTCAAACTTTTTTATTCAGAAATCTTTATTGATGTCACATACTGGGCAAGCCCTTTTTCAGAATGCTTAAACACATTCTATTTGAGGGAGGAGGTGTTACTTGAATGGCCAACAGGATCAGGTTCAACTCGTTTTACAATGTCTGTGAAGATTCTCAATCATTACAGACATACATCATTACAAGCTTGATACAAAAGGATTTCTTGGAAGGTCTTGAAAGAATTGAAAGACCAAACAAAAGCAGCTTTGTGAGGCTACATACTATAGAACAGAGCTTTTAGCTAAATGTTAACTTTAACATGTTACACTCACAGCAACAAGCTGTTTTGAAGTAGATTTAATGTTCACTGTTAATAAGCTAAATGTGTAAAACTAATATTTGTTTATAAGCTTGAACAAGCTAGCCCTCGATGGACATAAATATATGGAGCCAACCAGAATTCACGACTATCCATCTGGAGACCAACAATTTATGCATAGAGTTAAACAACAATTGATCAAGTAGATTAAATGTTGCAGTCAAGATGAGATGATGACAAAGATGACATACCAACTGTCAGACCAAAAGACCAACCGACATTGTTAAACATAGATCCATGCTGCTAATGCTAGCTTAGCTAATAACTAAGTTAAGAATGTGCTTTACATTGGTTTGACCTGATATTCAGATTGTTTACAATTCTGATTTGATTTTTTTGTTCAATTCTTCATTTAGAGAAATGTTGAGACCATTTCACAGATTGCTGTGCAGTGACATGTTTTATTTGATTTGTGTATTGTGATCGAGCCTAACTTTTCAAAAATTGTCCCAGCAGTATGAACTTCCTGTTTATTTTTTGTCAATCTCTCTTGCTACCGTTTATACTCTAGTGTGGTTACTACTACTAAGGCAACATTAAGCAAAACAGCAAAAGCCATGGCACGCAACAAAACCAGAAAATTCCAGAAAGCACAGACCTGAAACTAAAACAGGTGAATAAGTGTCCCAGCCCTTGTTTCCTTGTCATTGCAGATTGGGAGGAAGTGAGAATGAGGGGTAAAGTTGTGTCATTATGCATTGAATGAATCTACCTATGTTTTAACATAATGGGTTGATACCTGAAAAACTGTATTTCGGTTGAGTGTGCTTGAATTCTGAGATTAAAGTCCAAATTATTTTTTTTTAAATCAGAACGAGATATTTCAAGAGGTAGAAGAAAGAGGTATTTCACACTCATTCATAAAGATCGGTTTACTTCCTCGTGGCACACAAAGCATTGATCTATCAAACTCAAATCTCTTTAGCAGTAAACAATACGCCTGGTTACCTTGGATAACCTTGTTTTACCTTGTTTGTGCCATGAAGAAGAGTATACAATTACTCTATGAGGCAGGAGCTGTACTTAACATAAACACGTGTTAGCATGGAACTTTGAAACTTTGAAACCAAATCTCTTCAAACATGAATGACAAATGTGATGCCATGTCAACATGGCTGATATAAATCTAACTCAATACAGGTGTTCTTTTAACTCTCACGTTTTATGCAAAACTAAATCCATGTATAAAAACTCTTTCACTTTTAGGAGCACCATAATGTAGTTGTAAGCATACTGATAAAATTTGTACGTGTTACTTACCATTATGTATGTATTTTCTAACAACTTGTGAAAGGGAGGCACTTATTGATTGAACAATATTGACATGTCTGCTGTGAGGTTAATATATTTACACAATTTGATAAGGGAATGTTTGGATATTTAAAAGGCCTTCTTTGGAACTATGACCGTGTTTAGGTTTCAGTAATGGAAGATTGATGCTGCCTTCAAAGACACCTAGGCAGCCGTTTATTCTGCAACTATCTCCATTATTTATGAAGAGTGAATTCTTTCCTGAGCACAGGTAGATGTGATCAAAGATTCCTACCTTTATAGAATAAAAAAGTCAGTGGTAGGTATTTCATCGCTATCAGAGACATGCTGATCTTGTTTGTGCCAGATTTCCGTGCAGGGCAACTTTTCATGGCACAAATCAATTCTGTGGATGATGAAACCCAACATGGAGCCAGTTATTCCTTCACAACAAACATGAAGTAACTGATGTCTGCAAAGTTTGCAGTTTCATGCCAACACATGTGGTTTCAAAATAGATTGAAATATTTGAGTATGACTCCGATACAGATGTAACAACTTATGAGATAAATCTGACACGTCTGAAAGCAGAGGTTTATAGAGGTTAGAAAGAGAGCAGTGATAAGCGGAGCTAGGAGCCATCCATCTCATGGAATTCCAGTGTTCTTCACCTCACAAGACTCATCATGCTTGGCACAGCTGCATGCCCTTGAGCAGAGACATCCGACACCAGCACTTCAAACACAAAGATACAGGTGAAGACTACCCGCTTTATCTGCCATGGTTCTTTAAGAAAACATACCCCAATATCTGTGTTTGGGTACGATCATTTCTGAGTTTGGAAGTTGTAAAAAAGTAAATTGAAGAAAGTTGTTTTCTTACTAAAAAAAAAACAAATTACACAAACGGCTGATTTATTATTATTATTTTTGACAAATGCTGAACTAGTTTTAGACACAATAAAACCAAGAGGCAACAGGAGCAATGGTTAGGATGAAGCCAATCTGTGTCAGGACAGATTATTTTAGTAAAGGAAAATACAGAAACAACCAAAAATCTAGATCTTGAAAAAACATTTTGGTGACTCGAACTAGAAATGAAAAGGAGGCTTTGAAATGTATTGTTTACAAAACTACAAAAAATGAAAGTGAGAAAATGTCTTTTTAGTGACACACATCCTTTTGTCTTTTGTGGATTTTGTGGTTCATCTTTTGTTTGGAGAACATTTCTCCATTGTCTCCTCAGTTTGAGAAACTCTTTGGCCTGTTTAAAGTCCTCCTCACGACTCCCAACAGTTTTTCACCTTATGAGCTCTCTTAAGGGATGATCTAGTCTCAACTTTATGTGGAAATTCTTAGAAAATGTCACGATTCTAAGAGTTTTCTTAGAATTTTGTCACTAGGAGCAACTCTTAGTGCTCAGGAGGCTTTGTGAATACAGCCCCAGGTCCTCTTGATCTTTCTCTACCCGAAATGTATTTTCAAGCACATTAAAAAAAGGACTCTACATGAAAGAAACCCACACAAGTTTGAAAAGGATCCTCTTACCATGTTTTTTTTATTTGGGATCAAACTATAACCTGGTTACAATGTTCATCTCTAAAGCTAACTTTCATCAGGAACACACAAAAATATCGAAATGTCCCGTGGCAGGAGGGAACAATAAGTGCTTTTTGCTTAGAGAGGTGCTCGACCCACGCAGGCATTCACACCGTCCAATCCCAAAACAGGAAAAGTGAGCCTGGAAATTTAAACAGGATGTCTGAAAACCTTTCAATATAATAAATATAAATACATCTGAGGTTTTCTACAGACCATGAAAAGGACATGACAAAAATAGCTTTGTTTCAAACTCAATGCACTGGCATAAATAAAGTGTAATAATAACATTAATTACAAGAGTTATGACAAAGCTTCAAGGAAAGCAAAGTGTGCCTGGCCCTGTGAAATGTAAGGCTCGGGCCCTTTACATGTCCAGCTTTCTTCTTTCTTCACAGTAGATGCACAGAGAGTAAAGTACAATCTGCAGATGTGTCAGAATGAGACATTGATTTCTTTGGGGACATCGACTCAACACAGTTCTGGATGAATCAAAGTCATGAGTCAAATTGTTGTGGTTACCAGCTGATCATGTTCCAACTTTTCAGTTCTGCCTTTGTTTAAATTCATGAAAGGAAAAAAACCCTAACATAATGCTTTCTTAAAAAAAATGTATTTAGCCTATGCGCTATTTTTCTTCACTGCAAATGAGTTGATAAATTATTTTAAACAAAAATAATAACAGAGATAATTTACTTTTAAGAAGAAAGTAGAATCACTGTGCTGAGTGTGATGTGTTGACAGCTGCTATATGATGATAGTAGAGAAAATAAATCTGCTGCAGTAAGACAGCCCAACCTTTTCATATTAAATAATTCATTGATGGCTTCTTCCTGAAAAATAATGAAAAAAATGCAATGGTGGAAGAAAACATAAACCAAAGAAATATACATGAGAAATGGATGTCTAAAAATATTATAATTCAATGCACACAAAAGTCTCTGAAAGTCCCAGCCGTAGTTTATAAAGATGAAGCCTGACAGGTCGTGGAGGAGGAGGAGGAGGAGGGGGGAGGAGTAGAGGAGGAGGGAGAGGGGGAGGGGGAGGGGGATGGGGAGTGTTGGTCATTCCTATCAGCAGTAGCCAGAAACAGAGAAGCCGGACCAAGAAGAGAAGACGTGGTGCTGCACCTCTTTGTGGTGAGAAAGAGAGGAGGAGGAAGGAGAGAGGAATGGACGTCACTCCATGATGGCTCTGTAAATGACCGGTTCAATGTAGTCCTCTCTGTAGCGGGAGTTGATCACTCGTTGCCTCTTGGAGGTCTCTTTGACTTCGTTCTTTGTGAAGAGCTCAAACCGCATGTCGGACGCCACAGACTGAGGAGCGAACACAAGATTTGAATTAGAAATGAGCACTTTCTGATCTCAAATAACAACAAACCTGGCTATACGTCACATCTAGCGGCATGTTTTGTTAGCATAATGAGGTTCCAAGACCCTCTGATGAGATGAAGGAGTGAAGGGTACCATGCGTGACTTGACACGTTTGGGCAGATCCTCATCAGGAGTGTAGAGGTCTTCTCGTTTCACAGAGATTTGTGAACCGTCCTCAAACTCCACCTAAGTGTTACAAACACACACACAGAAGTACATTATTATACAGTCAGTCTGCTTGAATTATGCCTTTAATAGTTATAATGTTACAAAGCAGTATTTACTACTAAGAAATTGTATCATTATTTCTATCTAACCAACCACAGAACTCGATCAGAGGAGAAACTGTGTAATGAAGCCATCTACATGAAGGCCGTCTTCTTTAAAGAGATCATATTGATGGGCGAGCTCGCCTATATATTTTTAATGCTTTAATTGAGTAAAGCCTGGGTTAGCAGGTCAGGGGCAGAGACAGAAGCCGCATACAGACCGCGATTTTGCGGAAGCCCTGTAATGAAGTTCTGCTTTCATTACCCCCTTGTACTTACACATTGCACCCATAACGGCATAATATTGGTTTCCCAGTGCATTACGGCAGAAGGCAGAGAAGGGCGAGAGGCACACAGCTGGAGCGCCACATAAACACGCGATAAGGCGCGCGCACGCAGAGGAGGTTTACCAGGTACATAGGGATGGAGTGTGATGCCACAAACTTGGCTCCATATATCAACCCGTCCGTCCATCGCACTTGAACAGCATCGCCTTCAGCAGGTGGGCCGAGCCGGACGCAGTCACGGTTCTGTTAGAAGAAAAAGTGGAAGGTGAACTCAGGATACATAGAAAGAAAACAATCTCAAAAGAAAACTAAGCAAACCATATCTACACTATGTGTGAACTAAACATTCACGCACGCACACACACACACACTCCGTGTTTTTCACGTCATCCTCTCACATCCTTTTACTTGAATGAGTAAAGACGATTGGAAGCTCATTCTTTACCTCGATGTCCTCTGGGAAGAGGTTGTCGCTGTAGGACCCGTCGTCGAACACAACCTCGTAGAAGGTGGCTGCGGTCAGCTCCATCAACTCGCTGTGGTAGTAACGGCCATTTTTGTGCTTGCAGATCACCCTCTGCCCGCCATCAGCTCTCGCATGGAGGCCTTGTTACGCTAGGAGGCAGACATGGAGACTCACTCGAAGGAGTTTATCACCCCTCAATACTTTATGCACAGCAAAGATAAGTGGGCCAATAAGCAGCACATGTGTAAAGAGACAATGCAGCCAGGCTCCCTCTTCTGTTATAAATAAACCAATATTGTGTGTGTTGCATTGATACTGTTCTTCTTTGTGGAACAAAATACACAAAAATAGAGTAACAGCTGAAAGTTTACAAAATCAAGCCCAGACTTGTCGTCACATAGTTTAACACCATGACAGCAGACACGAAACCCCCACAGCATATTCTTCTTGCAAAACATTGTCTCTGCATATTTCTCGACAGGACCATACAGATGGCTGTCTCCCCCAATTAGAGAATCACAGCAGCATGAACAACAACACAAGTAAGAATCCCTCTGGTTGTTTAAAAATAAACCAGTTTAAGTTTTACAACAACTACAACTAACATCATGGCTGACTAAACAGGAGCTGGGAGAGCTGGAAGTCGGCATACACAGGAAGAGTGAGACTTCCTGCACATCATAGATAAACATGAGCCCAACATGTGTTTGTGCTAGTTTACCTCAGGTATGACGGGTGTCCGGTGTCTGTGGCAAGTGATATAGACTATGAACGGCCAGTCGTCTGGGTGCATGAGGACACCAGCTGCCTGAGCACAGGTGGGGTGAAACGCGGTGGAGCAGCGTCCATTGGAGCACTGGACACAGCAGCCTTTCACGTCTCTCTTCATCCGTTTCCTGCAGTACGCACACTTCTACCAGAGCAACACATGTTTGGAGGGGAGTGTGAGGTCAAGATGGCGAGTTATGAGTGGTTAAAGTACAGGAAGTAGAGAGGAAGGAAAGGAGGAGAAAGGAAACAAGCCAAGTAAGGAGGATGAGAGGGAGAAAGAAAAAAAAAAAATGTTAAAAGGAGTACAATACAGGCAGCCCCAGACGTGAACTGGGACAAAGAGACCTTAGAGGGAAGTGACGTAACTTCCATTTGATCTTTTAATACAACTGTGACATCATATGCAGTCGTGGTGGGCGATATAACGATCTTAGATTGTGAAGGATTTTAACGTGCTGACGATCTGCCAAAACAGAAAGATCGTAGAACCGGCCTTATGTTTATTCTATCATGCTGCAGTTTATGCTCCAACACAGACTCGTCTCCCCCTCTTTTGCTCCGCAGCGGTGAAAACGAAAACGAAATTTAAGTCCACAAAAACAACTCCATCCCGGTTATATGAAAATGTTCTGATATTTTCTCAAGCCGACTCGGCGTGAGCAACAGTCAACTTATTTGCATAGTTTGCATAGTTAAATTTACATCTGAGATAGCGACACAACGAACCGTTTAACGAGCCGGAGAGACGTTCAGTCTGCAGAGAGACAGACAGAGCGGAGCTCAGACAGTCAGGGGAGATCTACGTGTGGGAAACACTAATATGAAATCATTTATAAAGTGATCCTTTGAAACAAGTCTCCTTTGAGATCAAAGCATAACAATAAAAACAAGGACAACTGTAGTGAACTTTGTCCTGCATCATTTCCAAAAGACTGTTGGAAGGTGACTCAAATATAAGTCGGTAGTAAATTCTTTCACGTTAATTTCAAGTAAAAAACCCTTCTTTGTTATGGTCTACAATGACCTTTTAAGTCATGAAATGCCGTCACAGCTGTCACAGCTCCTTTACGCATATTATTCACAATCCAGTGGCGAGAACGAGAAGTGAGACTGAGCAGGGACAGCCAACAGGCACCAAACCAGTTTCATTATGGTGAACATTTACCCTTAGTAGGAACCTCAAGCAGGGGCCATCTGAGTACAGCTCTGTTTATCATGTATCTGATTGAGGGTCAACCAGTTTGGCATGACCGATGCCAACCAGTGAGATCTCAGTACATGGAATCAAACTGCTTGTTTTTTTTTTTATACACAAGTATGGTCTTATTCCCTCTTTTGGTGATACTGTGATTACATTCAATTACATATAGCATTGATAGGAAATTCTCAAACTAGTGTCGGACCCCGTCACTCATCTGCCATCTTCACACATACTTTTGCCTCTCGTCTTGGCCCCTGAGCCCCCCCTCACCCCGTCCCACAGGGAAAACTTCCCGCTGTGAGGGACATGTGTCAGCAAGCAACTCAGGGGCAGGCTGTCTAAAAATGTTCCCTGAATTTTCAGGCCTGCATGTGTGAAAACGGCTAATGATTATGCAAACTTTAGAAACTTAAGCTCTAAACACAGCAAACAGAGAGGCCCGCTAGATCACATCATATGAACAATCAACATTCATTATAACGGCTACTAATCAGGTCTCAGTCAGACCAAACGCAGAGTGCAGCATCTGTGCTTAGTCTTACCAGTCTGAAGCGGGGCAGTGGGATGGCGGAGAGGTCGACAGGGCACCGCTCAGTGATGTTGACAAAGCGAGCTTCCAGCACAGTGATGGCACACAGCACATGAACCCACCTGTTCCAAAAACAAATATAGTGTAGATTTAGATCCGTTCAAGGTTCAGGGAGCAGTCTTTGTAGAACAGCATTCACTGTACTTGCTTTTCTAAATAGAATGTACAACCAAATGTTAGTTAACTCTAAACACACTTCTGAACCAGAGACATTAGTTCTTTAAAAACAAGTGATTTTAATAATAAAGTTTCATGAGATAATGATAAACTCTTCGTGTGATTCTGGTGAATTATTCTGAACAGTAGAAAGAAAACACAAACAAACGAAATATGCAATATGATCTATGAAAGTTCAGTTCAAATTGTTTTTTTAGTCCACAGAAAAAGAAGGAAGCAATCCGCTGACGCGGCCGTTCGCTCACAAACTCAGTGCATCCGAAAAAGTTACAAAAGTAATCCAACAAAGGCAGTCGATCGATCACTGGTATACCTGAAGAAAACGAATAAAAAAAAAGGAGCAGGATCTAGGAGGAAGAATAATCCGGTCAGACGGACCGTCTTTGTCTCAGCCCCGCCATGCGTATCCCGTCACGGTTAAGGAGACGCGGAGGGGAATCTTGGGTCTATGTAGCAGCCATTTTCTGGTTATTTGTTGTTTTGCATTTGTTTTTCGTTGTTTGTGAACAACAGGGGGCAGTGGGCACCTTGCCAAGCACATGGGTTGATTAGGAACCCTTTAAATCTAGAAGGTGTGTCACTGTTGGGTGATGCAACAGGAAGGGACACCACATGTCAATGAGACAGGTCAATGAATGCAGTTGGAAATGTTTGTTCGATTATATGATCCAAATTAAATGAAGAAACAAGAGATCTCGACTGGACATTGAACTTATTGCATACGTCAGGCCTCACTGGAACGGTGCATCAGTAGCTGTTTGTTGAGTTTGTATGGTTTATAATTTTAACTTAAGTTATTTTTGGACAAAAAGCCACAAAAAAGTAAAAAAACCTTCCTTTTTTAACAACGTGAAGGACTTGATTGTGGAACCGAGAAACTTAAAAAAATTTTTTTTACTTTGTTGATTGTGTGCGCACGCTGTGGGCTATGCGCTGCGGATGGTTGCTGGAGCCTGTGAGCTGTGGACGAACGCTGTGTGGCCTGTATGCTGTGGATGGATGAGGAGCGTGTGATCAGTGGAGGACCATGGTGGCGTGCGAGCTGTGAAGGACCGCAGCGGCGTGTGAGCTGTGGGCTGTGGACTGTGAGCTGTGGGCTGTGAGCTGTGAGCTGTGGGCTGTGGGCTGTGAGCTGTGGGCTGTGGGCTGTGGACCTCCTACAAAGATGTTTTTCAAATAGATTAAACTTGTCAGAGCAGTTTTTGTGCATTTAAAAACATTATACAGGGAAATAAGTTTGGTTGAACTGGTCAGTAACTTACAAATCTGTCTAAAGATCAATATGAAAAAAATCGTGATCTTGCCAAAAGAAATCGTGAAATGATATTTTTCCCATATCGCCCACCTCTACTCTACACTGCAGACTGTGGTCTTTGTTAACAGAATGTTGCTGTCAAAACAGCTTCAATGTGCGATGAGTGCGCATTGATGTCTGCGCGTCCACACACCACACTCACTGCTCTAATTATAATAAAGTGTTAAAACAGTCATAAGATACGTGAATTTTTATTTGAGGTTTGCTGTCTTTCTGTAATTTCTAAATTAGGGACAAGCCTTGATTTCCATTTCTACTAAACAAATACAATAAAACTGTAACGCTTCTGATCAGTGAACAATTTACTCAAGGTTAAGACCATAAAATCGTTCTCCTTTGACTGTCAACATTACTTACTTGTCATCGTTGGCTCTCTGCAGAGCTCCGCCTCTCAGCGAACACAGACAGCAGTCCTGGAGGAAAAGACACACAACAATGTGTTAAATCTTTAAACTAGTGGCTCTAATAACTGACTCTTGAACCTTTAACAACAACAGAGGCACCGACTGCAATTTATTTGGCCGATTCCGATTCTTACCTCGTCTGACCTGACTATTTCCTTTCTAAAAAGCACTTTAATTCACAGCAAAAAACAAAAAGACTTTTGGACCTATTCTGTAACTAATTCTGGAAAAAACATTTAGGTTCAATTTAATGAAACACTAAGACTGTGTTTACCACAATAACAACATTTTAATAAAGAGCTCATACGCTGAGAAACATTTTGAAGTCAAAGTCGACTGACTCTGTTTAAAGTAAAGCATGCCCCCTGCTGGTCAGAATGTGTTTGTAGTCAAACTGGGCGACATTCCCAGAATGATTCACAACAACTGTCTATTGTTCTGAGCAGACAGGAATGTTGAAATCAAAGGACATTTTAAGATTTTTAGAAACAAAGTTTAGAAAAACAAAGTCTTCAAAGAAAGGGAGAGAACACTCTCACTGTCTCTGAACAAAGGAAAACCGGCACACAGAGCTGAGTTTATTTGTGTGAAGGTAGGGATGATGTGCTGGTTACATCTAAATACAAGATCCCAACCAGTCCACTTTTTTATAGTGCAGCAGGGTTACATGATGGTCTACTTCAGGTGGTCCTCAACCTTGCTCGACTCAAAAGCCTCTTACATATTTTTGTAAGAGCCTCAATCCAAAAATGTTCCTTTCTTCCCTAACAATAAGAAAAATAATTACACCAGTAATTAAGAACAGGGATAATAGTTATAGTTGATTAAGCAATGAAATCATGATGTTTAGTGCAATAACTATAATATATTATCATTATCCTCATTCATCTACACTTAAATAAGTTCACGCACATTTTGAAAAGTTTCACTTCTGCGTTTTATGATGGCACTTCTACAGATGGAAAAAAGGTCAGCAGTGATGCCGTTATGTGCGGGGAACACTGATGTGACTTGCAATTAACCTTTTCTGATGACAATGTTTCCCCTTTTAAATATATCGTAGGGATTTTTTCTTCCAAGTACGACTCAAAAGAGAGGCATGCGACTCAGGAGCCGTGGGTTGATTATTGCAGGTTCTACATTGTGCTGTTAGATCAAAATGAGAATTTATGAATAAATTCAAGTAATGGAATAAGCCTCATACATTATGTACTCATACATTTTTGTTATTTTTTTGGGGAAAACAATTGAGCCACGGCACAACAATAGACTCAAAATAGGTTTGGCTTTAGTAAATGCAGTTGAACCTTGATAAAAAAAAGGATTTATTTCCAGCACTAACCATTAAAGTTTATGTCATATTAGTCATATTAGTGCATGTTGGTGACAGTTTTGTTTTTTATTACAATAAGTGAAGCATGACTTGATAAAACTGATCAGACACTTAAAAGTTCTTTACTACCAAGTGACCTAGAACAACAGCTCTGCCTCTCTATTATTATGTTGACATGTAATAAAAAAATATTTTAATTGGCAAAATCGTTGTAGCCTATAGGAGTCCCAATCAACTAACCTCAGTGACGGCATCTGCCTCGCAGCGGGCGCACAGCCAGTCATCGAGCTCGGCTCCGTGGCCAGACACACCATAACAACCTCAAGAAGAACAGAGAAAGGAGTCACATGTTTACTGCTCACAGAAGTCATTCATCTGTTTGGGTTTCATGAATGTAAGGCTTTTAGTCCAAGAGAATCCATCATTTAAAAAAAAAGATAGATTAACTGCCAGCATCCTGTATTTTATTTTCCTTTATTTGTTATTTAATCAGACCATAAACGTTATCTTTCAACATTTGCATCATAGGTGAGAAATAGCATAAGATTCATGTTGTCTTTAAATAAAAAAAGAAGTGAAAAGAGAGCAGGGCGCAGAAAGCTGTGTTCTTCAAGCCTCTCATTTTTAATACAAAGTATTAGTGGAAGTTTGTGAACCTCCTCTAATTAACTTTATATATAAAAATGGATCAGAGCGGATGAGAATATTTAAAGAAAGAATTCCGGAAGAGTTACAATCTATACATGCACACACCCACACATCACAGACTTACTGGTATGTACGCGAACGCAGCACTGCGCACAGCTGACCAGCCGGCTGGTCCCGTCCTCCACTACATGAGGGTTTGACAGCTGTCCCTCCGCGCTGTCGTTCATCTTGCTGGTTTGGGTGTTGAAACACATTTCAGGGATGAGTGGCTTGGACCACTGGCGGCCACCTGGACGGTTCACCAGCGTCACACATGAGCTCGCACTGCTCGAGTCGGACTGTGGGGGAGCAAAGAAGTCCAGAGGCCTGTTAGTACATTTACGTCACACGTATCTCCCATGAACATCAGATGATCCAATCGCCTGGTAGAACTTAAGACACATTTCAACATGTTGTGTTTTAAATCAGGTCAACTTTGTAAACATAATTATAACACAACTATGACAAATGAATATATTAGATGTTTTCTTCATTCATAAACTATGTGCAACCTGTGACATATAGAACTACATTAATAAAAATAAATATTTAACTTTCTAGAAATAATCACATTTGACTCATGACATTACATAGAAATTAACAGTGGTGCATTTTCTTTTCTACAGACATTCCAACAACAATTATGTGTAAAACATATAAAGCATGAGCAAGACATCTGTATTTGACTTCAGATTTGATATAAATAACTCACCGAAAAGTTTGTTTTTATTTAATTATCTTAGTACATTTTAGACTTTTGTAGACTGATTTTAGCAGTCTTGTATTATCTGTCCCGTTTTTCTTTTTGATCTAATGTCTGTTTTCTAATTATTTCTGTAATGACTCAATGTCATTGTAAATGAGGGTTGCCCCTCAATGATCTTTCAAGTATAAATGTAGGTTGAATTTGGTCTGGATGATGTATTTTACTTGCTCATGTTTTTAAACATTCTATTTTTTTTAAATAGAATGCTTTTGTATGATTTTTTTAAGTGTATCAATATCCTGAAGGCAGACTTGGATATGATTGAAAAAGGACTTAAGACATAACCCGTACTTTATATGTGAACATACTTGATGAAATCCCAACTTCCCTTTTTGAAAGTTTCACAAACCAGGTTTGTGGCTAGCCTGATCTCCTATGTTAGTTTTAATGAAGCCAGATGAGCCAAACACAAACCGGGTATGTTGGACTCCCTTTATAGAACAGGTCTCTGGTCTCTGTTTGTTTTGTCCTGTTTGTTTCTGCCCTCCATTTCTATTCCACCTTTGTGTTGATCAAATTCTTCAGTATTTTTCTATATGCTATATTTGTAAAGGATCAATAAACATAAGCTAGAAAAACTTCTTAAGATCATTCAATGTTTGCAGTTTTCACCTGATGGTAGGTGTGGAACAGCAGGCAGATGGCACAGTACGGAGCCTGCTGACCCATTCTCTTGTTATACTCTCGCTCTGCCTGAGGGTTATAAGGTCGACACTGCCACAGCTGGGTTAGAGCCTTTGCCCACTCCTCTTTCTCTTCTTGCTCCTCCTCCACATCGCCATACCAATCTATACACAGGATGATGGGATGATGACAGAGGGGTGTAAAAGAAGGATGAATACAAGGTGTCAGGATTTAGAATTTTTTTTATATAGGTGTTAAAAAAAACATTTAAACCATAGTAGGTTTATGAGTAACAAGAAAATGAAAATACAATAGGATTGATAAAACGGGTTATTTAATTTGTATTCCTTGATTAAGCAGATGAACTTAAGACGCAGCATACCTTCGTCGCTGTGCAGCTCCCTGATCAGAGGGTGATGACGGGGCAGCTTTGGCAGCTGTGCTTGCTGCTGGTGCTTCTTCACTACGGACTTGCAGTATGATTGTTCTTCTGACATCTGCTGGAGAAACAAGAGTATAACAAGGCAAAACTTCTAACAAGGAGTATATACTGAATCTGTGATAACAAAGGTAAGATCAGTTGTCATGATTTCTCTGGCATATTGGGAGCTCTGTACTGGTATGCATATATTTCCAGATACACAATGGTTCCACAAATCCCTTTGAGAATTTGGTCACAGCTAGTATCCACTTACGTGATGATTGTGAGCGATCACCTTCATCTCATCATGATTTGGTTTCCTTAAAGGAATGGTGTCTTTCACGATGACAATGCCACTATCCTCAAGGGGGCAAAGGGAACTCTGTAGTTTGAACAGCATCATTAACATTGAAGATTCACGGAAGACTTTGGAATAATACTTAAAGTGTGTGTTCTGCCATCAGATAGCCAAGAGTTGTTCTATCAGCAGGATCAGTTATAACGTTGAGCTCGAAGGGATTAGTAAGCAAACATCATGCAAGGAAAACGCCCCAGTACAGAGATACCAAAAGTCTTGTTGCCTATTTTTCAGTGACTTCATGCACTAAAGTAAAATAGAGGAAAGCAATGTAAATATAAACTTAACAAGTTTATATTTGTTCAGGGTTAATGACTACACAGCGTTTAGAGTTTAATGGTGTTAGGACAAATCATGCACTATAGAACTTATTTAAAAATACATGTATAAAATAATTAATATAATAAATAAATATTTAAAGACCTTTCGCTTGTTGTTCTTGGGGGGCTCATTCTCCGTCTTGCTTGTCTCTCTTTGCTGTGTTGGGGACTGAGAGGAAGCACTTGTGCTAGTGGGCTCAACTTCAGGTTCCTCCTCCATAACCTTCACCAAAACAGGTGTTGTTATTTTAAGTGTTTCCTCCTTTGGGTCCTGCTCCACAAGACCCTGTGCATTTGATCCAGCCAGTGCTGCTTTGGGAAGAGAGATTTGCGTTTCTGACTGAAGCGCTGCCCTCTCACAGCTGGGGGCCTCCGATGAAGACTGAACCTGTGTGTGTGATGGTGCACAGGATTTGGGCTGTAGATGACGTGGTTGGTGCTCTCTGGCGTAGCTGTGCACCTGAAGCTGTGTGTGCGGCTGCCGCTGCTGCTTCTCTAAAGTGTAGCTGTGCACTTGAAGAGTGTCTTTTGGACTCAGAGTCCTGTGGAAGAGAAGGCTAGCTACTCCCATTTTGCGGGTCGGAGCAGTGTTGGCCTCTGTCCATGAAGGTGCAACCGAAACTGATAGATGTCCGTTTCTGGGCTGGGACACAGAGGAGATTGCAGGCGCACGGGTTTTGGTATAATGAGGGGGTCGGCCTACATCTCCGTTCAAGCTCCTGTGGAACGGATCTAATAAAGTGAGCTTGGTTGGTGTGACGACCAACTTTGGCGGGCCTGTAAATTCAAGCAGAAGTCCTGATTCAATTCAGCTTCACACCAAACAATTCAAGGCTCACTCAACAACAAGATAAACGAGTGCAGTAATGCAAAGGGGGACATACCTTTATTTCTCTTTCCATCTTGGGACACAGTGCGCGGAGGAATAAGACTAAGCCTGGGGCGCTTCCCGTACTGCTCCACATCCTCATTATCTTCATCTTTGGGAACGACCTCGTCAGGCAGATCGAGACACACTCTGTGTCTTTTGGTCTCTATCCTCTGTGTAGGGCTGATGGTTTAGCAAAAAAAAAAATTATGAAAGTTTTTGCTTCACTTGATGGAAAATCTTCAGGTTGAAACAACTTTGAAATACAGTGGACATCAGCTGCAGCAAGATGTAGACTTTCTATTCCAATTGAAAACAATCAGATTGAAGAATTCAGGAAAATTGTCACAAGCAAATAAAGTATAGTGTTTACATGCACAGTTGGATTTAATCAACACTGCAGTGAGATGTGCAAAACTAATGAATACATTGTTCAACAACAACTCTTCAGGCAGTGTTTGATCAGTATGTTAGCAACCCAAGCCGTTTTAACAATTACCACTAACTGTGCTTAGTTGCAACATTTCTTCTTTCGTCTGGTTTATGAGGAAGTTAAGACCACAACCCTTGAAATATAAATCCGTTGAGAACTTGCTTTTGTTTAAGCATCAGCTCAATATTTTAAACATTATACACGAAGGGAAATGAGACTTTCTGTTTGCAACTGATGAAATCTACCACAGGTCTCTTAAATATTTAATCAACTGCTCAGTCATGGAGGGGATCTTTGCTGGTTTAGTTACTTGCACTGCTGAAGGACAAGAGAGCAACAAGGGCATAAGAGCAGCAAAGGCATACAGATAGGGTTGTCGGTCTGAAGTAACATGAGGATTCTGGAGACAAGTATGTGCTCGGTACCTGTACTGTTTGACTCTGAGGAAGATGCAGTAACTCGAAATATTAGTCCTTTTACACCTTTATTAAATTTGCCTTGTGATTTGTGTGCCCCAGTATTTACTTTGGTTCCTGTCTTGAAGAAGGTATCCACTGATTTAAGCCCAAGAGTTCTACTATGATGATACTGGACTTTTACTGGTTGATGTAACGAAAGCAAAGTACACTTATGAACTTAATGGCCTTTAACATGTGCTCAAACAATTTGTATTCAAGCAAACAAAAAAGACACACACCTCTTCCTCTCTCTGTCCTCCCCACAGCTTTCCATCGAGTTACTGTTGCTGGTGATGTCATTGAAGGACTCTCCAAGGAACTCTTTGGCCTCTGGGGTGGGCCTTGAGTGATCAATGGGTGCCACATCTCGCCCTGCCAGCCACTGTTCATAGCGATCCGGCTGAAATTTCTTCACAAATACATCCATGGATATCTTGACCATGTCTTTACGGCATGAGCACTAAAGGAAACAGAAGCAGAAAAGATTGTAACATGAATGTATGGGTTACATACGTAATAGCCAGTTAAAACCAGATTTTATTAAGGTTATCCCTGTTCTTTTATGCCATCATTGTTTCTTACCAAAACTGCATGCTTGCCATACTCAATCCATCTCTCTGTGGCAAAATTTGTGGATTCTGCACAGTTGAAGCCGTGGTTGAAACCAGCATGATATGCATAGGGGAAGGTGACCATGAACTCCCCAGCCTCCTGGGTAATCTTAGGGAGTGGCGATAAAATGATTAGTTACTTCAGTTTTTACATTGGGCATATGTTTCAGGCAAGAAAATAAGGTACTGTTTGATATGCAGATAAATAAAATGCCATACCTTATCGAATGGAATGCTATACTTCTTCAGTATAGAAGGAGAGATGAGCGTCATCTTGTGCCTCAAGAAGGCCTCACAATTTTGGGAACTGCCAGGAAAGAAGCCTAAGAGATGAGACAGGAGACAGATGTTAGAGTTCATGGTATTTAACAGCTTTATACTATAAACACCAAAAATAAATATAAAATCACTGGGGTCTCACCTTGAGCCAAACGTTCCAATCTTTTCCCATGCTCTGGAGGAACACAGTACCTGGAAATAAATTCAAAACGTTTTTAAGCATTTATGTATACATAATGCAGTGTGATGCCAGTTGATTTACAATATGGAAAAAGTCAGAGTCATCACATTTTAAAATCACAACAATATTAAAGAAAAGAAGAGTTTGTATCTTACCATGATTTGGGCTCTCCAAAGTGCAAATAGTTGATACTGTAGAGGTCCATGTCCTCAGTGTGCCATGCAAAGGTGGTCTTCCACATGCCAAAATACAAGTAGGGTGTATTTACACCCTCAATAGTGATGCCACTTTCACATTCAACGGTATCCAAAATGGTGTTCAGATGGCAAATGTTCCACTCTTTGACTTCCTGTATGAGTAAAGCAGAGGATCAACAGATGAGACCTGAAGTGATGATACACACCACAACAATCAGTATCTGTAAAGGCATCCCTGGTGTGTCAGGTCAATGGATACAGAGAGAGTATTAGGATCAGTTTACTCCAGCAAGAACATCCAATAAGTGTCAACTCACGGGGTCATAAAGACTGCCATTTACATCAGCTCCATATATGGGTGGATTAAATGTCACATTCTTCCAGTACTTTCTTTCCAGCTCCTCAAAGTCGTCATAATGTGGACTACAGAACCTAAGATGGTAATTTAAAAAGAGTTGATTACAACAAAACAATACAAGAACTTCAGCAATTAAGGTCAAGAATGCAGTTAACTGTAAGCAATAGTATATAACACATAACTGAAAATGAAGAGAAATTAGGCCTCTTACTTGTCACTGTTTGCAATCTTTCTAAACTCTCTGAGAGTCATGGACTTCCTCTGAATGTTGTACTGCTGAAAAAGGCCTGACTGGCCTGTGACCACCTGCTGAATGGGCGCAGGTATCATCAAATCGTCTATATCATCATAAGAGCTTCTTGGCTTCCATTCCTTTGGTGGTACAATCTTGCGGACGAAAAAGTGAACAGTTAATCAGTGTTTTATCAATACCGCTCATTATTTTGTTTGATTTCATCAGGAGGGGAGTTTTTTTTTTTTTTTTTACAAGTCGGTGTTAACATGCTTGTAACATTTGAATGTTAAACAATGATTAAAACATGCCCCGCAGTTATCAAGTTTCTCAATGATCTTTGTAGCATTGTTAAATGTTGATTACATGAATAACATCAAAAAATACTAATATGGCCTGTGAACAAAAGCAGTCAGTACTGACCTTAGCGAGGCCTGCTTTATGTGCACCCTGTGACTCTATATATGCGATGTAGCGGGTGAAGTTCTTGAATTCCTCAGCAGTGGGATAAAAAGTCATGATCCCCTTAGACCCATGGTTTTGGGAAACCGCATCGGACGCCATCCCAAAACTCAATGGCAGCTCCTGTTTGTTGAATATGAAGAAAAAGCACATTTATCACGTGACATTTCTATTGTAGTTAGTGATGTAAATGTAGTTAAATAATCTCTATTATTAATTCTGTCCGGATAGCCTGCCTTTCAGAACAAGGAAGTTAAAGAGAAAAAGCATTACACTTTTATAACGTGTTTTATTTATGACACTGTTGTATGTCCCGGCATGTATATGGTCCTCATTGTGGGGGGTCGGGGGGGGGACTGGGTCTGGGATGAAACTGCTGAACCTTCTCTGATTGGTTCAGCCCGCGTCTCTTTAATTCAGTCCCTCCATAGAAGCTCAGCTAGCCAACATTAGCTCATTTGCTAACCTGCAACAGGAGCTAACTAGTGTAGGGGGGAAAGCGTTGACAGTTAGCATAGCATGAGCTAACTGATAGCATCGATGTTCAGTCTAGTGTTTAAGTCTCATTTAGTTCTGGACATAAACGTGACAGTGTACATTACCGTATCCTCGTCAGAGTTACTGTGTTGTCTTGTTTTTTTAAGTATTGACGAAAGCGAAAAGCGTTTTTAAAGACAGTCTTCAAATCTTGGACGGGTCATGGTCATTTCCTGAATAACATAAAACCATCGTTTCTGTTACATCGTGTAAAAGTCAACTCTTAATGAAAAAAAGTTTTCCGATAGCACATTTGAAAGCCCACTTTTTAAATGTTCTTTTAAAGTTTAGTTGATTATAAAAGCACATGAATCCTCTTCAGAAATAAAGTAAATCCACAACTCCATGAGTAAGTTAAGCAGCAAGCACAGGCACCACCGCTGTCATAAACCATGGAAGATGAACCTGTTCCAGGAAGTAGACGACACCGACGTCTAGCATCGACATCAGATGTGGAGCAGTTCCGGCTAACAGATTAGCATTGTGAGTTAAGAAGCTAACGTTGTGGGACGGAGAGCCAACTAGACATGATTGTACTTACCACCTACTCTCTGTTGATTCGGGCTTTGTTCCCTTGCGATATATCCACCTATTACTCACTTGAAACGGCAACTGTGAGCAAAAGAGAAAGACAGCTTGCTAACTAAGCCCCCTGTGTGTAGATCACCATCCTCCATTACCACTTCTACGCACGCACACGCACCTCGGATTTTGTTTACCACAACACGCATGGGACACGCTCAGCCAATCAGAGGGCGGCTCTGACCCCTCGTCATATTGATGAAAACCATAGACTGTATAAAAGAAATTAAAACACGAGTACCACCCTCACCTTTGTATGTTCTTTTATGGCATAATTAAAAAAAACTATATAAAGAGTCTCTAATTATCTTTCTCCTTTTAACAATGCTACATTATTTTCTCTTATGAGTTATCCTAATGTTTGATTTCTACTACTAATTAACCAATATTAATAAGTTAATTATTATATAACGAATTATTAATAATCATTATTGTGTATTAGTTAACTAATCAAACTAATATTTTCAATAATATAAAATAAATGCATACATTTGTGTTGAGTTCATGTCTGCACTATTATTTCATATCCAAAAGGTATTCAGGAAATATTAAAGGAAAATCTGTTTTTATTATGTATGTACAAAATATTATAAGGTATTGTCTAGCTTACTGCACTTTCGTTTAAATATTTAATAAATTCACCAATTAATCTAGTGTCGAAAAACTGGTCATGAACAAATTCAACTTCAGCTACTGAAATTAATTATAGCTTCTAGAGCCTAATCTTTAAATAAACCTCTGCAGACTAATAACGTAAAAACAGCTATTTACAGTTATAGTTATGTTGTGCACCCTACGTACAGAGGCTTATACTTGTCAGAGTAGCCCTGGTTTAAAATCCGACCTCGGCCCTTTGCTGTATGTCATCCCCCAAAACTCTCCTCCATCCTTTCCTGTTTCTCTTCAGCTGTCCTGTCCAATTACGGCAAAATGGACCAAGCAATAATTTAAAAAAAATGTTTTTATAAAACTGATTATTCAGGTTGGGGATGGTATATGCAAATAAATGAAATTGCACCTTTAAATAATTTGGAGATAATATGATTTGCCCAATGATGCTGTATATCCTGTGTCAAGCCAATGTAATAATCACAAGTTATATCATCTTGACTACATTCTTTCTTACCAGTATTATTAAATACCAGTATTCTTTTGTGTTATTTGAACAGATACTTCAGTGTATCATATAACTAATATTATTGTAATCCTGGTACATTGAGCACTTAATATGATAATACTGCAAATCAACAAATGAGCAAAGTCCCATGTAGTTTGTGAACATAGTTTTATTTCATGCCAGGAAAAGGCACGTTCATACACTGAATCCACCAGCTTTGATAGGATATATATTATATGCATCTACATTCAGGCAGTGCATATATTATGATTCCCTTGAATAAATGCAACAATAACATTACACTTTATGTTAACCACAAAAAGATATAGCACATAGGAGCACTGACAGTTTGTATATGCACGAGTTTAGCATAAGAAGAAGTACATGTGCACCCTGTAGTCCATACAGTGTAACTGACACCAAAGGAGACGCACAGTACATTGCATCAGCAGCACTTGTTGGTTTTTGGAAAAGTCCATGGAGAACACATCATGTTTTCTGAGTTGTCAGCTTCTTTCCACTCTATTTCGCTCTATATTTTGTATCAGTTGCATAAGAACAATCTTGTTGCATCCGCATTCTGTCAAAATGCATATATAACAGACCAGTATGGTGGGTATAAATGTCGCTTTTTGTCGACAATTTCCTGCTTTGGCTGCCTCAGATTTATATTTGGGCTTTGGGTAACCAGTCTCATCCATCCACCATCTTCTAATCATCACAGTATACACTTTGCAGCCAAAAGATTATAACTTTCATAGAGCACATAAGACTGTGCATTAACTTGTACCTTACAGTCCCATTATGAGACAAAGCAGCACCCATGAATGAATGTCTTTCTGTGAGCATGAAGTGTTGCTCATTCTTTCTGTCTGACACTGTGAGATAAATATAGGATGCACTGGAAAGTAATAAGGGAACATACACTCCTGCATTTATCAGCTTATAGATACAGTATACTGTATCATCTTGAAGAAGTCCTTACAACACTTTATTTTATGGCAGCTGCTGTTATTTCAGAATAAAGGCAAAACAATACCACACTTTCATTAGAGGAGAGAGCACTGGGAATTTTACAATATGAGAATATATTGTAACTATCTGATGAAACCCTTTTCATGATCTAGACTCATGCAGAGCCCCAGCATTTTGTATCCTTAGGATATCATATACAAATAGAGAAATGGCTAGAATAAAGGAGGAACACATTTTGTCATCCATGTGAGTGACCATCTGTCTTTGCAACCAGTTTGAATAAACGTCTCATTAAGGATTACTTCATTTTCATGCAAATATGAAATAATGTATCGGTTACATTGTGCTTAGCATAATATGTATCACTGTTTTGATTAAGATTCAATACCAGAGTTCATTATATGGAAAATAAATAGCTTTTTCAATCAAATAAAAACACGGGCCAATCTCTAAACAGCTGCTGTGATTGTGAGTCTTAATGTTTGAATTAGTGTATACAGCACATCGTATGAATGTGGTTAATAGATGGCTGGATCGCAAGTTAGCATTGTATTTCTGTGATATTTCTGGCATAATTTAACCTAAATATTCATATTTAAGTATTAATGACATATTGCATGTACACTGCTATACAATAAATGTCTTTAAACAATTCTCCACTACTATTTCATGAGAAACTGTTATTATCAACAGTTATGTTTCGTCAAAACTGTCCTTTACCATCACATCAAAAAACCTGATCGGTAATCCGTCATTTCAATGCATATTATTCTACCAGTTTCCCATGAAGCAGATGTAAGAACATTTTTGTAAAGGTTGACCAGAAGCTCTGCAATACTTTACAGAATATTTAAGATAAAGGTGAGACAATTCACACACCATCTCATCTATTTGAAGCATTTTGTTTCTTGCAGTCGTCAGTTCTTCACCAGAAAACTTTTCATACACAAATCACAAATGGACACAGTACTTTTGATCTTCAGATGTTGTGTCGTTTTTTCAAACATGACAAGATGGAGCACAGACTGGTATCAAAAGCACAGCAAAACTGACTTTAATTGCATCCATTCTTCTTATCTTTAAGTCCATTCCTTTGTTCTCTGGTCGGCACCATGCCTAAGTCCCACTTTATCTTTGAGCACCAGTGGCCGTGCGCATCCTGAAGATGCGGCCCTGTTTGTAACAGCTCTCAGCCGGGGAGCAGCCTTAAGAACACATGCCAAAAAAGGCCTTCTGCTGGGTTCTGTTATAGAACGTGACTCCTCGTTGGTTATTTGTCCAGAGACTTATTGCTTTTCAGTGTGTGGAGAGTGTCACTGAGGGCAACAGTCTTCTCTGTGTCCGACGTGCGGCTGTCTTTTCTGGACATATCGGGCTCCCAAAGAAAGAATTCATGGAGGAGGGTATTAACGGTTTCGGGACACTCCATCATGACCATGTGACTTCCCTCCTCGATGACTTTAAGGAATGCAAACAGAAGGATCTAGAAAGGAAGCATGACGCAGACAATTAGGACACAATTATATAGAATGTCATTTTATAAGCTTGCATTACATTTTAAGAGGTATCATACCTCTGCCATGCGCTGGTCCTCATCCATGGGCACAAACTTGTCACACATGCCATGAACCAGCAGGATTGGTGAAGTGAGCTCAGCATGATAGACCTCGTCCCCTTCAGGCCAGTACTGTCCGCTCATCATGGCGCGCAGGACAAACGGAGAGACGTTGAAGGCATTGCCCTGCTTCAACAGCTGCTTTTCTTTGGCACCCTGACGGGCAAATCCAGCTCTGAAGTTGAAAAAAGGAAGTCAGGAAGTGTTACTTTGAAGTTTACTTATAGTGGTTTCAATTCAATTCCATTTCTAAAAACTTTATTAGTCCCGAGGGGTCAATTCAGGTGGTAATAGTGCAGTGAGGAACAATAGTAAAACTGTGAAAAAATGTGATACCAGAGCTGTATGAAAGTAACTTAATATGAGTGAAGGGATCAGTGATTGTTTGTTTACCATAATATACACCATGATAGTTTTCATTCATAGTTTAAACTATAACAATTAGATGCTGTACAAGGTACAGGTAGAAGTAACTATGATGTGCCGAGTGTCAGTGTTGGCACTATGTGAATTAGAGTTGATTGATAATGATACTGATACTGATACCAGTGTCGATAGCTGTATCAGGATCAGCCAGCAATACTGCCTAAAACGTGGTTTCAGGTAGAAGGTATGCATCTTTATATGTTTTCTTTTATTCATGCTGTAATCAGGGGAAACTGGATATTGACTCATACTTCAATTCAAAAGTACGAGAATAGTTATCTAGAGAGTAAAAGTGGTATTGGAACATCACTAATGGAAATGCAGATCTTACTTGAGGAAGCTCCAGGCCAGACAGGGTGACAGACAGTGCAGGACACAAGATGGCAGCTGGAAAATGGAACACAAACTGGGCTCCAGAGCCGTGGGACCCCCTCCGTTTATCATCACCACCTTATGGACCAGATCGGGATATTCGTGGGCCAGGAAGGTGCAGAATGACACTCTGGAAGAGATAAAAAAGAGATGGGTCAAGCATGTTAACGAGTAAAGAACAAGAGAGGGATCTTTGATAAGCTGTCAAATTTCTTCAAATACATTTCTAATGTGGAGTGATTGATTTGTTGAAGTCTTTATTTCAAACATGTACTTTTTTTTCCAAAAACAACCACCATCATAACCACCCAGTGAGTTTGAGAGTCCTTCTGCATTGCTGTACCTTGTGAACACCATATTTTGATATATGTATCTTTTAAACGAGTTTGGACTTTGTTTAACTCCACATTTAAACTGTGTGTTGTTTTTACATTACATTTGTAGGTTTAGTAGTCTCCACAATCATAACCCCCCCTTTCTGTCAAAGAATAGTTTTTCAATATTTGCCGGTGGTAGATTGTTTTTTGCCCTGTACAGTATCTGTGCAGTTTGAATTTTAGTGTTTTTGACTGTAAGAATAATGAGTGAGTGTGATACTGATATCCAACAA